GAAAAGAAAGAAAAAAAAGATGGTTGGATAGTTCGGTCGATATTCATCGGTTGAAATCGAAATAATTATATACGATAGAAAGCGGTCGAATGGATGAAAATGAAAGTTTCTGTTAAAAGTTTGCACGTGTTCGAGTGTGCAAAATTAAAAAGAAGAGATGTAATTGAAAAGCAGACGATCTCTCGTTTCCACCCTCTATAATACTCGGTAGTTAGAAAGTAAAACGCCTCTTTTTTTCTATCTTATTTTAAACCGATATTAGAAAGCAAAGTGAAAGAATAATATTTCGTTAAAGGATCGGAATTTTTTTTTCTCGAGTTCATTTCCATTTCCAACGGAAATGCCTTTTTCACGATTAGAAACGAAATTCGTGCATCTCGAGAGATAAAGATATTCATTCGCAAAAAATAAAATGAAAAAATTTGTTTAAAAATATCTTCGAAACACTCGACGAGGAGGAAAAGAAATTGGTTCGAACGAGACGTTCCCGCGAACAGTTTTATCTAAGAATAAAATGTTCGTCTCCGCGGCGAATCGTGGAGAACGCGGCGTGCGTTCAGTTCCTCGAAAAAGCCAAGGATACAGGATGTTGGGACAAGAAACACGGCGAAGAAAAGAAAAGAAAAAAAAACCTCGTCGAAGCTTATTTCCGAACAATTTAATTTTGCGCTAGATTCGTAAAACTTTCACGTTTATTTCAATCCCCTTTGAATTTTCTATTCGCGCATACAACATTCGTGCGCACACAGTTTTTTTTTTTTTTTTCTTGCCTTTGAAGAGGCACACTTGTGCACGCGTTTGAACCAGAGGAATCGTGAATTAGATTCACGTAGCCGCACACACGCGTATCTACACTCGTTCCTGTCCGCGATACTCGTGCGGATCGATAAACTCATAAATCCGAAACGCAGCTGCGACTATGGCCAAACACGTTTGCGTTTCCAACAGCGCCAAGAATAAAGAGGAAGCCACTCGGATGCGAAATTCCTATCCGTCGGATTATTTATACCCGTGGACTAAAAATTTGAGGAAAAGGATTGTAGAAGAGTTTGCATTCGGTGGAGATATTTTTTTTTTATCACGGATTCGATATCTGCGGAAGAGAGTTAGAAGTAATATCGTAATAACATCGTCATTCATGCAAATACGAAGCGAAGAGATTAGAGGGAAGTTATGTAACATATTTTCAGATTATTTATTAATAAAGAAAATTGGATTTGTTAAAAATATTAAAATATCTAGGCCCCAGTTAAATCAAAATTTAATTATATTATCAGGATGAGTTTCTATATGCGAGCAGCGCTTTGGAATCGAAAGTTGAAAGTTGAAGTTTTTTGGAACGAAAAATTGAAATTAAAACTTCGACGCTTTTGAGGTAAAGGACTGCTCGAAACTCGGTTATTGGAAAAGATTCATGGATTTCGTGCCACCAATATATATCTTTAAAAATACTCGATAGTTCGAACATTTTTTACATTTTAAGAGAAATTTTACCTTCGTTGATTTACTATCTGAAAAATAACGAAGATTTATTGCCTATTTTTTTTAAATTGTTATAGATTGCCACTCGATCTTCGTGCAAATTATATGGAAATAAAATATACAGGATGTAACGGGATGTTTCAACCGTTCGAAATAATTGGTCAGAAAGTATGAATACGTAAAATTTTCGGAAATAATATGCGAAATAAAAATTGCAAATAATTCGTAAAATAGAAAAATCGATGGATGGATTTCTAAGAGATTCCACGAGAACGGGAAGTGAACGATGCTCGTGCATTGTCATCCGGAAAAATGTAATTCAAAGATATCGGCGGTAGGTAGAAAAAAAGATCGATGTCTTGTGTGCCCGTTGAATGAAGGAGCCTTTGTCAAGAGCGACGAAAAGGAACATTTCCCCGGTGCCGGAGGAAAAAGGAGGATCATGTATATACCTGGTTTATTTTCCAACCTGGTATACAAGAGTGGTGGCACAGCTGCAAGGTAGCATAACAAGACGATGATCGTAAATACGCTTCACGCCGTATACGATTTAATGCTCGATTCACTTGTAATTGCGGCTACGGTTGCTTCACAATTCGATCGAAGCTTCCGATTCGCCGCAGAAATTGCAATTAACGCACCGTTTAAAAATCAAGATATTTCATTTCCGTGGATCCAATTCACTTCTAACGACGACCCAGTATATATAATTCCATATATAAGATCAATACGAATAATTTAGTACACAAAGATTGTTTATCAATTTAATTCACGATTTATAAAATAAATCGTATTTTCATCTGGACCGTTCTAGATCGTACTTTCATTATCTTTGTGATCGATATAGTGAACGAGTATGGTCGATACCAATGAATCATCGATCGAAGGACAATTCGATATTCCGACCGCGTCATCGATAGTTTAATAAAACTTTTCTACGTATTGTTTGCTGCAACTTCTGATCTAAGTATGAATACAAATAAATGAGTAATCATCTTCTGGTGAAAAATAATTACACGCTATTCGATAATAATTTATTATAAGTTTACGTTATTAATAATTCTATCGCCGAGGTATCGCGAAAAATATCGGAAAGGGAGGAAAATTCGATGTGATTTCGATAGATGATCGCGGAAACTTCGATATGGATCGAACGCGATTCATAGTCTGTTTCCTAAAGAGGAGCGGACTCTAGACGGGAGGTTTATACACGCGATGAAGTTTCAATTTTGTCGACCACGCGAAAAAGGACAGGCTTTTATCTTATACGACAAAGCGGTACACGCGGCCCACACTGCTTGGGACTACCTACGTTACACAAGGATAAAAATTATTTGCACGAACGCGACAGAAAGGTATGCTAATTCGTAGATCGCATCTCGGCTTATAAGGTCTGCATCGTGATTTTTTTTCACAAAAGATTTCGTAAACGATCGAGTATTGTATAATAAAGTGACGAATCTCAGTTGGAGATCACGATATTTGTATGTCTCATTCGCGGATTCAAGGAAAGAAAAGAGATAGAACTTAACCTCTTGCAAAAATCGATAAATGGGCAAAATTCGATTTATCATATTAAACTGTTGAATTCGTATCTTTGAATATCGTATTTTAC